TACTTCAAAATTACCTTTTGAAAATGTGAAGAATACGAAAGGGGCTTTTAATACACTGTTTTGCAGCAAAACGAGTGATTAAGGTTTGTCGAATTTTTTATTCATTATTCGTTTGTTTATGCGGTTTTGCTTTGCTGTTACTGTTTCTTAACCGGTAGCTCTCCGGTGAGTTGTCCGCTGTGTTCGGGATTCGGGAAGCATCAAATGATCAGTTCTTTTCTGCATCTGAAGCTCACTGGAAGTTATTTTCTTCTCAAAAGATGGCGTCTTTTGGGTTGAATTCGGTCTCTTTTGAGGAAGTCGGTTCTGTTTTGCAATTTCTTCTTGAAGTGCGTTTGTAGCGCTTGCTGCTGCGGAGATGGTTGTTGGGAGTGTTCAAGAGGAAATAGTTAGTTAGTCGTCTTGCCTTTTCTGTATCGTAGGTTGCTACTCACCTATGGAACGCTAAGAGGATGATGTACGCTGAATCACCTTGTCCGTTCCTGTTTGATTGAGGACTATGAGGAGCGGTTTCCAATAACAATCCGGGTATTCCAGTGGCAAATGTCTTCAGCGTTACTTCAAATATTTTCACTCTTATTATAATGCAGAAGGTTGCCTGGTATTCCTCTCTAAAGCAGCAGTTGTTGCGAAAATCACTTATGTTACATGATAAAATTCCGGTTTAATGGCGAGACTGGTATGATCATAATATATTATTTTAAGAGGGTTTTCGAGGATATTTACTTGTCCTTCTTTGTAAAACTAAAGTGAAGTGGTATTACAATCAACTACTTTTGAAAAGCTGTTTATTTGAAATTGTTGCTTGTGAACGACAGAGAATGAGGGTAAGGTAGTGTTTCTTTTTACAGTTTCAAGTGTACTCAGGAAATCCGCGAAGACCGTGAAAGTTAAAATGTCAGTTTTTTTGGTTTCATGGGTAGTTGTACGGAGATCTTTTCTGTGGCGATTTTCAGGAATTGAGGAGGGACTGGAAGGAATAATTCTGCATGTTTGACGCAGTGTGTGATGAGAGTTTAGAAAAGCTTTGTTGAGGCGCTTTTTTCCACTGGATGACAAATCTTTCCGTTGATGGTTTTTCTCAGACCCGTGTGACGTAGCGCACCACCTGTTGAATTAGCAGTAAGCGAATTTGCACAGTCGCTGGGCAGATATCAGCAAAACGAAATGTTAGTCTCTTGTACTTTTTAAGTTTTGAGCGTTGAGAAACAGATTTTCTCAGTGTTTCCACAGTAGCTGTAACAGTGAATTAAAAAATCACGTTTGAAGAAGCAGCTTATTTTTGAAAAGTTGGTTGCAATTTGGGAACAGTAAAAGACATTTAGAGGTTGAAATAAGTTGTTGAGATTTTTTTGATACGAATAAAGAGCGAGCGGTTTCTTGGTTAAGGAAATAAAGTGCAGCTGGAAAGGTATGGAAGAAGTATCAACACGAGAACTTTAGAGTTTCAAAATGAGAGTTGGTCATCGCAGGACATTACAGATTACTTGTACTACATAAAGAATGGAATTTGAATTTATTTTACTCTTGTTGCGTAGAAGTTTCATTCTAGCTAAAATTTTTCATCTCAATCATTAGCATCGAATGGCAGTTTGTATTGTATAGTATTGTTGTACGATCATAGTGCACTTATATATTTCCATTAAAATAATATTTATTTTCTGCTGACTGTTTCGTGTAATTTTACTGTTTCGCCGGTAAGAAATTTTTTTACTTTCCGTGTTACGGCCTAGTGGATTATAAATTTTCAGATGGCTGGGATCATCAATGAACGGGCATCGACAAGTACCGAAGCCCCACCTACGCCTGGCCCAATGATTGTTCCTTCGGAAATGAGAAGACTGGCTGATGATATGCATGAAAAAGTGGGTATATATCTGCAAGGGCAAATAGATGGTATTTTTTATGTTTTATTCCAGCACTGGATTTTTGTTTGAAATCGTTAATAGTTGAAGGTCGCAAAATTTAGGAACGATTGCGGAATACAAATTATTGGAGGAGATGAACAAAGCAACAGGCCAGCGTTATGATGATATGAAACAAGTTGCTCAAGGAGTTTCTGAGAAGCTGTCGGTTTTAAATGAAAAATGTTCGTTGATATTTTCAAACATAAGTTTTTTTTGATTTGCGTTGGAGGGTCAAGGGATTTTTAGTATTTCTTTTCGTTTTATAGATGAGGCACTTCGTCCTTATCTACAACAGATTGATGAAATTGATGAAAATACTCGAAAGCTGGAAGATGCTGCTAGTACATTGGAAATATATGTTGCTACACTGGGTACAGTCTTTGGTTGTTGATATGATTATTAGCTTTTTTCTATTTTTTCTGTGTTACAATTTTGACACAGAAAATGTGCTCCAGTGAAATGTAATTTGGTTAGTAATTATGAATAGTAGGGCTTTTAAAATGACCGACAGAAAGTGAAAAGAAAAAAAAACAATTTCATTGACCGTTATTTATTTTTTCAGAGAAGAAGCTACAGAACATGCAGCGTGGAGGGAACTCGTAAAAAAGAGTATATGGAATTAAGTTTATTTATAAAATCCGGTCTTCATGGCAGTTTATTGAGCTTTTTTTTTCTTTGACATTCAAAGACCAGCTTCTAATAGTTTCTAACTCGATAGTGAATAGGTTCTTTCAGATGATACATTACTTCTCTTCTTTTCAGCTAAAGTTGGTAAGTGAAAGTACGAGTTTTAAATGTTATTTCATTTTATTCTGTTTTAAATCTTATGCTAATGCTTTTTGTGTTTAGAAGCTTGTTTGTTCTCATGACTTACAAGTAATTAATGCATTATGGTTGCTTTAAAACGTCTTTTGGTAGCATGCATATGGAACGGTGATCGTAGTTTTATCAATTTTTTAGCAGATTTTTATGTTGCGCGTCAAACTTTATTCTGTTGTGGCAAAATTTATACAAAATCATTGGTGTTTTTGAATAGATAAGTTGTTCACAATGTCGCATATTATAGCTGATTTGCAATCTTCCTGGACGTTTTGGTGTCTCTAGCCCGAATTCCCCAATGCATATTTTTTCATTATGACATGTATTTCATCTGTTTTGATCCAGTTTTCTTTTTCTTCCCCATTGAGTTTGTCTGACTTGAAATAAATTTTCATTTTCAAAATTTCCGTGTTCTTCTCATTCCTCCTCTCCTCCCATCGCCCCGCACTGATATACTAAGTTACTGACCTCAGTAGTAATATTACTACTAATGTAAGCATCATTTTACGTATAAGCACTGTCCGGGAATTTGTTCTCCGTAATTTTTTTAATTACCAGACCAGATTGGTGAAAGTCGTGGACACGATTAGATTTGGCTTGTCAGTACAATTAATTGTCTTTTAAATCTGTTAGGCCGAAAGTGATGGATTTGCTGATGACGACAGTTTTACGGTAACAACTTCCAGTAACCGTGCGTTAGTTGACTGTTAAGGTTGTAGGCGTTACTCATTTCTACTGCACTGATTTGCGATGCCTTCGCGGTTCTGCTTCCTAGAGTTGTCGGCCGACTGGAAACAATAAGTTATTTGGAAGTCCCGGGGTGCATCTGGTATTGTTTTGATGAAGTGAATGGGAGTTTTTTTTTGCAGGAGAAATGAACATGAAGTACCTTTTGGGTCTTTCTGAA